ATATATATATATATGTTTAAGGCTGAAGATGAGATGCTTGGTTCTAAAGTTTTATATTAATTCAATCTTAAGCTTTGAGACTTACATGTTTTATTATAACTTTGTTATTTATGTTGATAGCAACGTCTACTTGCATAGCGTATCGAGTGGCCAGCTGTCTTCTGTCAACCATCGAGTTCAAAGTTACGCCCTAAAAACTTCACAGCATTGCTTTTGTATTATATGATCCACTTTTTATCGCATTACATTTTAATACGTTTTCTAGTTGAGTAAGAAATAATAACTGGGAATGCGCTAGACCTGTTTTTTTTTTTTGAAACCGAATTGCGATCAAGCATAGCTTAAATAGGATTCAACTGACCAACGATCAATGAACGTTTGGTTGGATTTTAGTTTAAATATTACGTGGTAATTCTTCGTTTTATATTCATATTTCTGTTTATGTAACAGGAGATGTGCCTCTTCACGTTTTATCTGTCTGTACAATTAAAGCGCTTTTTGAAATGACGTCATTTAGTTTCATGACTACATTTTACTGCATATTTTATTTTCTTAGTCATCATTTCTTTCTGATTGAAGCACAGAGATCTGTTAAAAATAAGTTTGTGAAATAAATAAACTCTATGATATCTTCCAGTGAAGGCAAACTATTCATTGGGCACTCTTCAACGATACGTTCAAAAAGTTTTTTGTTGAAATCTCAACAGTGGTCTCACCATCTTTTATTGAACCTCTGGGGCGTACAAATTGCTACAGCGAAGCAGCAAATAGGTCTTGTCATGTTATCTGCGACGTCACGTGACCACTTTAATCACGGGTGCTTGGGGTATCAAATCTGATTTGTACACATTCGTAGCGCTCCGAACACCTATTGCAAAGTGTTAATAGCGCACACTTATCTGTGTAGTTGCCATTTTTCAAAATCGGTTATCTATTGGGATTGTTATGTGAAACTGGGTCGACTTTAGCTTCCACCGCCGAAGCCTTTTCTTGACTTTTCTTTAGGTAGTCGCAGTCGTTCTTTCATTTATGTAGGTTTGTTTAATGAATGATTTTCAACCGAGCTTATAAACGGAGTTGACTTCAAAAGTAGGTCTTTGTAAATTTTAATAGTTTTTTGGTTTGTATGATTTCGATTGTATATGAAGGTTCTCTAACTCAAAGTGTTTAACCGAGTTCAATTATCTTCTTAAAACTCCAAATTTCCGTCACCTCCCATAAAGCTGTAACTGCTTCCAATTTTGTCACTAAACAAAAAGTGTCATTCTTCAAATTTTTTCTAAAAACTCTCCAAAATAATTAGTTACTAAGGCTCATTTCTTAGGTGCTGAAAACTAAGCTGTAACTTTCTTGTTTTATGAAGCATATAATTATGTTACCTCTTTCACGTGTTTTTAAAGTGTTCTAGAAGTGTTTTTACGTTTAAATTTATGAGGATCTTTACTTTGAAAAGTGGAAATTCTGAAAGGGCTAATGGGTAAATAACCTTCGTACAATGTGGTGTTACTCTACTCCGCAAGCAGGGAAGGACAGAGTAAGCGAAGGGATGCTTTGGTTAGTATGCAGTATGGAAATTGGAGATTGATGAATTTTTATATTGCAGTATGAGGCCAAATTTAAATTGTACAAAACTAGTAACACTCAAGGTTTGACCTCAATCAGCAGTCGCTTGTCAACAAGTGTCGAGGAAATTAAGTATTTTGAAACTCATTATTTTTATCTATTGTAGTAGGCCTATTTTCTGAAACTACTTTGGAAAGTTTAGATTTCAAGAGAAGGTAAGTGAAAATCATTATTGTCTTCCCTACTAATGATGGTGAAAACTGAAGTGTGTATTACGCTTTTTGTTCAAACTGTAGTGGAGATGGTATTTGAGTTTTGGCCTCTTCCTCTATTTAGTTGAAAACGCGACCTAATTAGAATTAGTGTTTTTAATAACGGTCTAGTGTTCTAACTGCCGTACAATTTTCTTCAGCTGTTAAACTTAATAAGAAAGCAGAAAACTGCGGAATGAGGAAAAGGCGCAGTAAGAAAATAACACGACACATATAGAGTAGAAGAACTGGATTCTTTTGGGGACCGAACTCACGTTGTTAGAGTTACTACTTACGCTTATGTAGCTAAACAGTAGCACGCTGCCAGTTTCTCTAAAGTGGTGATTTACAGTGGTTTTATGCAGCAGAGGTTGTTTTTCTCAGCTCTGCCTGTCTTTGAGAATCTGATCTCTGCAAGCGCTTTTCACTTGAATTTATTGCTCTCTCTAACAGCCACGGCCACCTGTAGCCTTAGCTATAGTATTTTTCTGCATTCACACTCGCTGTGCATCACCCACTTTTAAATTTCTTAGCCAATCAGCGCTTAGAGGCTACTAAAGTAAAGAGGTGCTATTGATCGGTAGCTTCTGAAGCAAAAAGTTAGAAATCAAAAGTGCATTAATTTGATCATTTATAAAAAAATTTACACCGAAATGCAACATAAGTTTCGCAATAAAGTTTTTCTATTTTATAAAAATATTGGTCATTGTAAAGGCTAAGTATTTTAATTATATTATAAGCATATTTTTTTCTACTGTCATTTATCTTCGTAGTGCTAATTTTATATACTTTTCATTATTCTCTTTATGCTAATAATAAGAGAATAACTAAACATACTTTTGAAAAAAAGACAGCGTTTGAAATTTTTCGCTTTTATTTTGTTGATAAGCAGAAAAACTAAATTATTGTGGTCTTAAAATTTTGATTTTCTCAATTCTTTCATTTATATCAATTGTGTTTAAAACCAAGTAATAAAGTTTAGAGCTAAAAGAAGTACCATTTCAGGAAATGTTGCACAAAGCGTATCGAGTTCGTATCTCAACGGTGTTGTTTTGCTGGCCTCTCCAAAGCTTTCATGTAACATGTGAGAGTGGACATCTGGAGCTGCCTGACTTGCAATAAGACGTCCGTCTGATGTCATTGTCGCACCATTCTGATCCTGGCATTTTGTTGCTGGTGTTCCTTCGCGCTGTGTCAGTATTAACTTGCCTGCTACTTGGCTACAATTAAACTTTGTGTTTAGACTAATATCACGAGCGAGATGCCCAACCGAAAAAAGAATAATTCTATAATTATAGTTGAAATTTTTTCAAAATTTTGTTGAAGCTTATAGCATTGTTAATCATTTTATTGAAAAGACGGGGCTTCAAATCTTACTATTCCGAAGTTTCTCCGGACAGTTTGACAAGCGTAACACGGAAGAAGGCTTCTTTAACAGGCGGGCATTCACTACAATCGTGATCTGATAGGGCACAAACCCTAAAGAACGAAGTGAACAATAACAGTCTTTTCTTAGACAAGGTGAAAGAGAACGTAGAAAGTGCAAATTAATGTAGAAAATGTTCAGAGCATAAAAGTCAATGCAACTGTAAAACTAGTAGAAAAGTAGTTTAAAAGAATTTATAAAGCGATAACAACAAAGTTTCTGTAATTTCCAATTCGCGTCTATAATTACAAAATCATTTCAAAAATCTATAGAACTAGAGGTTTTTTATTTTACAGTAACTAGTTGCCAACAAAATCAAATATTTCAATCTACTAATGTACTTTGGTTTACCAATCATAATTTATTTACAGAACCTTAGAATGAACTATGTTAGTAGCACGGTGAAAAAAAAAATAAAAAAATAAAGACGAAAATATAAGTGTCTTTTCTAAAATTGTTTTTTTATTGAAACAATGATGCTACTTGGATAAATGAAGTACGGTTAATTTTTTTTTCTTGTTAATTACTTGTCTTTAACTAAAAGTTATTAAGACAAAGATAAAGAAAGTTAGTGAAGTGTTGTTTGCAATATGCAAAAAATTTAAATGATTTTTAAAATGATTTATATAAATCAAAAACAAAAAAGAAAAAAAAAAGGGGGGTAAGAATTGTTGTCATAATTATAACTATAGTTCCAAGTAAATAATTACTGATCAACCTGATTGTTTTTTTGTGTCTTATGATACATAAATGTATGTATGTGTCTCGTTCTATACATTTTTAAAGCAATTCTTTTATGTCTGTGTATGTGCGTCTGTATGCAAAATTGTATAACATTAGTGATGATTACATTCTGTATTGGTAGGTATAAGTTTTTTTTTTTTTGAAAACACTGTCAACCATTTACATTTATGTTACTAATCAAGCAGTCAATTAGCTAGTTACAAAGCTTTATAGTTAGGCAGATAGCGACAGTTACCGAACACGCATTGTCGGATGGGGTGTACGACATTTGACCACATTTCGTGCTCGGTGAATAAGTGGTGCAAAATCAATTTCTACTGACGCGTCATCTGTTGCTGAGCCTCTGTCTGCATTTGTAAGACCAGAAATTGTTTTTGGCCATTCAGTAA